GCCACAGGCCTTTTCTGCTCACAGTATCAAATGCTTTTGTGAGGTCAACAAAAGTTACATCGAGTCCTTTGTTCTGTTCGCTACTCTTCTCTTGCAGGGGTCTGAGAACAAATACTGTGTCTGTGGTACTCCTGTTGGCTCTGAAACCACATTGGCTTTCAGGCAGAAGTTCTTCTGAGATAGTTGTAGTACATAATATTTATAAAAACACCCAAGTAAGCCTTGAAATGTTAAACTTTGCACTTGAATCTTATTACATATCAGTGAAGTAACACTATTTAGTTCTTACAATTAAGAAAAAGCAAGCTAAGTTGCTGAATTTTTTTTTATATCAATATAAAAAAAATTGAAAATACATGATTTTCAAACAAATCACTTCTTTGTAAATGTTATAAACACCATGGCAGGTGCCAGGAGTTAGAGCAAGGGAGGATAAGTTCCTTTTCTCTTTTCTCATGACACCAGTTTCATTCAAAAAAACGTAACTTCTGAACAACAGGTAGCCAAAAGCTGCAATTCTCTTAGAGCAGAAAGTGTCTTAAATCATTCTCAGAAGTCATTCTTCCAATACTGAAATAAGCTGATGCTAGTGGTTACCTAATTAACTGAAATAGCTGATCATTTCTGCAGAATTCAAACATTACAGTCCAAAGAACTTTAACTGTCTTGACTATTTAAAACTATTACTTAAAGAGAATCACAGAATTGCCCACATTGGAAAATATGCTTAAGATCATCAAGTTCAACCATTAAACTAACAATGACCAGTCCTCCACTAAACTATATCCCTCAGCACTGTGTTTACAGGACTCTTAAATACCTCGAGGGACGGGGACTTCACCACTGCCCTGGGCAACCCATTCCAATGTCTAATAACCCTGTCAGTAAATAAATTATTCCTAATATCCAATCTAAACTTCCCTTGGTGCAACTTGAGGTCATTTCCTCTTATCCTACCACTTGTCACTTGGACTTCAATCAACATTCATCCTACTTAGATATGTGTTTCCAATCCACACCAATTTTTCCTGTAGTGACTACCACTTAGAAATAGAAATACTGAGACTTCCTGTCATATTAAGGAAAGAATGTTTTTGGTATATAATGCATTTTGCAGGAAACCAGAATAGGCACGTCAACTATCTTCATCACAAAAAGTACCTTTTCCATGTTATTAAAAAGACCAGATGCACATCCTGCAAAACAGGGAGAAAAGTACTGGACTCCATCTCTGCCACAAACTGGGTAGTACATAGAGCGCAAACATCTGCAATGAGCATTACATGGTGCCGTTAAATTATATGGCGTGCCTGTTCTGAAAGAGAAAAAGTTATTAGTCTTTTAATAAAGCAATTTAAAAATAGCAGATATGTAAATAAGTAATTAAGTATTTATAGGATAATAAATCTCAAAATATTCAATTCAGGTGATTTATGCACTTAATTATTTTAAAATGAGCAATGTTCCCAGTAGTTACAATTCTAGAGGGAATTCACATTTATTGTGTACATATTTATACCACTTCTTCCAAAGATTAGTCCTCTAATTTCCATTCACAGAACAGATGACAACATTCTGTGTCTCAATCCAATTCTTGTATCATCTCCCTCTCATGCACTTACTGATTTGAATTTGTCCAATTTACAGTTTTAAGAAAAAGAATGAAACAAGATTAAAACCAGCATTTCATGTTGTTTATTGTACTGATCATATTCTAAGGGTTTTTTCCTGTTTTAGATTCAAGTCCAGTTGAAAGCCCACTGTATTTTTACTATTTTTAACACTGCTATGCAGACATCTGGATTCTCCTAGCTCCAAGACAACTGCACATGCTAAAAACAGAGTGCCATGACATACAAATTCTTATCACATTCAGAAGAACCATAAAGATTTAATCTGGCTGTATGGGGAATAACTAATGAAGAAGAGAGTTTATTTTAACTCACTATAACTACTCTCAATTAATGCATTTTAATTCCAGTATAGATCATAGTGTGGTCACGTTTGAAGAAGCACCACTATATCATTACAATGAAAAATCAGCCTAGGATGTGGAGGGACCTTCTTAAAATATGACTGGAGAGAATAAAAAAATCCTTTGATTTTCTAACACTAGTGCATTAATAAGCAAAGAAGCTTCACAGGTTAAGAGTTCAGTCAGCTGTAACCAGGATACTGACACTGACAGTAGCTTAAATATTGTACTGTAAACTCAAAGTTCCAGATTTATTACCTAAAAGGCAGGTTTCTTCAAGAGAATTGAGGGTTGTCACAAATACTAAGAGAAGAAATAATTTATCTAGGAATTAGGGTAATTACTTTCATAGAATTGGAACTGCACATGGAATAGTAAGGACATCCTAACTACCTATATACTTCATTTGGTTGTAGTACAGTTGAACCCCATGTTACATTAGTTCATTCTTCAGGCATAGAAGAATCAAAGTTAGTTTTCTCTGGCTTAAAGTCCTACAGTGCACCATAAGCAAATTTACTATCAAGGTTTGTTCATACAGCGTCCTGTTAGTCTGAGGCATGTCAAACTTAGAAGTATTTAAATAATCCAGTGTCTACATTTTTCCTGTTTATATGTGCAGCCAGTGTCTGTTTTTCCTGATCTACAAAGAGGGACTGAACCTTTAGTTATGCATGGTCAAAGAAAAACATTAAAATATAGTAGAAATACAGTTTAGTGTACACAAGTACTTATATTGAACTTCTTGCTCTAATATCAGTTTTCTAAAGAAGCCTGGCAGGTCAGACCATTAAATGTTTTTTTAAAAACTCTGTAGGTTGGGTATTTTTTCACAGCAGAACAAAACAAGGAGTGCTAGAGACTTGCGGGAGTTAACAGAACCACAGAAATAGTCACTGCATTAATGTTCCTGTAATTTTTCAAGGAAATACTTGGCATAAGAATTTGGCAAAATCTATCATATGAACTACTTACTAGATGAAGAAAACCATGTTAATTCTGCTTATAGCTTAATTTAGCAAAAACCAGTCACTATGAACAATATACTTCATTTGTTAATATATGAACTCAAAAGTAATCCTGAACTCCCGTGGTTCTAGTACTAAATTTACAAAAGATGTCCTTACCTCCCACCCTTCCCCTCTCCAGGCTATTTTTCAATAGAAAGAGAATGCTCAACAAGAATGTCTTCAAAATCTCCACAAAATAAATCAGCACAAATTTCCAACTCAACTCTCAGAGCACTCTCATAATTTATTATTTCAGAATCACTTGTTCAATAGCGTAAGCAGGAACCAGATACTTGGCTATTCTTCCACAAGCTTAAGCATTTGTTAAAGTTGCTACTAGATATTTTAGTTGCCTATTTCTTCATGGAAAGCAGTTTCAGAACGGGCACTCTATCAGTCCCACTAACTATTCTGATGCAAGTCACATGTCCAACAATGTGACCTGCATCAATGTCCAATATGTAACAGTGAACTAGATAAAAGTGAACAAAGGATAATGGATACTGAGTGAAGAGTTAGGTGAGTATGGTTAATTCCAATCAGCTGTAAATGAGAGGTCAACAGCAATCTTTAAAATGCATCACTGCCAAAGTTACCCAAATCTCTAAAATACAAATTAACTATATCTAACTTAGGACAAAAACAAATTCAGCTGTACCTTTTGTCAGGTGCTCATTATCAGAGGACCTGGTATAGAAATAAGTATATATTCACATAGTATTTTCTATACAACTTTTTCAGTATTCAGTTGCTACATACAGATTCTTTCGCTCAATATGTAACTACAAACTTTCCACAATCAAAGTCTGCATCCCCGTTCTGAAGTGTCCACAGTAATTTTACAGCTAGCATTTTCAGACACTGAAGCAGAGCCTTGCTTTAGCTATCAAATGTTAAAACATGCATTTGAATATACTATCAGCTGATATCATGGCATTAAATTTCCACTTAGAGAACTTCAAGCCTGACTGCCTTCTATCACTACTGCCTCTAAGCCCTCTGAACTTCAGAGAACAATTCTGTGATATTCGTGTACTTAGTTATGTCCATGAGAAAGATTTTCCTGCATTCTTCTGTTTGCTCATTTAAAGTCAAAGAGCATGATAAAAATCAAGTGAATAAACCGTATAAGCCTAACTATTGATTAGATGTTTATAATTTTTTCCTACACATATTACTAGCTTGCATTTACATACGAGTCTCCAAGTACAATTTCCCATTCAAATCATCTTTTGCATTTCCATGGTGCACTTCATGCTATTGTGTCAGTAAAGTGATCATTTTCCCCCATACTACTTAGGTTCAAATGTCTTTTCACGCACTGGAGCGTAACTTGCACATTCTGCTTTTACACAAGGTAGTAGTATCTAATCCTTTTCTAAAATGAGGGATTTGGAGAAAATGACAAAAAATAATGTTAAGTTATTCACTCAGACAGCACAGCATGCTGTTCATGATTATGATTACTTCAAACGGCAGCTGGCAGTCCCTAGCTACCAACCTACTAGAGTTATTTTGCACAGCGGCATCTGGCTCTTCGGCAGACCCTCAAACAGTGGAGTTGCCTCTGGCTCTGTCAATTCATGACAATCTTAGACCCGAGGGCACAGTCTGCTCATGCTACAAAAATGTGTATTATTTGAAACACTACAATCTTACAGTTAATTCCTTAGTAAGGCACGTCTATAAAACACACTCTATACAACATAGTGTATATGATGGTGATCTGATCACATATACCCCATGTGGAAGTTTTGCAAGTGGACCTAGAAATCTATTCTCTGAAGAACATCTATCTTTGCAGATATTTATTTTTAATCTTGTTTCATCTTCACCTTCACTTTTCTGACTTTTGCTCCCACTGCCATACTAATTCCCAGAGTAAGTTTTCTTGAGAACAGCAACATGAAGAACATTTCATGCTAAAATTTTTATTGCAATTACCACAAATAACTAAAAAATCAGCAATATATTTCATTTTCATTAGGAATGAGAGACTTTGTTGCTTAAGGGAAATAAGAGGAAATAAGGGAGATAAGAAATAGGGGGCTGGCTAGCTCAGTGGTTTGAGCAGCGGTGCAGACAACAATGACAACACCGAGGTCGCGGGTTTGATTCCCGCTCGGTCCCTATGTGTTGCCTGGTCTAGTCGAGAGGTGGCATCCCTGCCCAAAAAAGGGAGGTTGGACTAGATGATCTCTAAGGGCCCTTCCAGCCTATGCCGTTCTATGATTCTATGAAGAGTGCACACTGTTTTCCTCGGCACTGTCCCTAGGCATATCAAGGATATGACTATTAGGAGCAGTCAGTCAAGGGGAAGTCATGTTTGACCAACCTGATAGCCTTTTACGAAGACATAACCAGGTGGATGGATGGTGGCCATGCAGTGGGTGTGGTCTATCTGGATATCAGCGAGGCATTGGACACTGTCTCCCACAGCATCCTCATAGGTAAACTGAGGCAGTGTGGTCTGGATGACCAAGTAGTGAGGTGGGTCACTAACTGGTTGAAGGGAAGAAGTCAGAGAGTTGTAGTCAATGGGGCAGAGTCCAGTTGGTGGCCTGTGTCTAGTGGGGTCCCTCAGGGGTCAGTGCTGGGACCAGTGATTTTATATATATCCATCAGTGACCTGGATGAGGGACTAGACAGCACTGTCAGCAAGTTTGCTGATGACACAAAACTGGGAGGAGTGGTGACACACCAGCAGGCTGTGCTGCCATTCAGAGAGACCTAAACAGGCTAGAGGGCTGGGTGGGGAGAAATCTTACAAAGTTCAACAAGGGCAAGTGTAGAGTTTTGCACTTGGGAAAGAATAACCCCATGTGCCAGTATAGGTTGGGGACTGACAGC